CCCTGTAATTAACCTAAAATGCATATTTTTCTCACAAAAAGAGGTTATTAAGATACTTTTCGTGTATATTCTACTACATTGTTTTTCATTGATTATTTCGTGTTTCCAGGCACGTCAATTGCTATGATCGTTGGTTCCGTAAGCGTGTTGCATGTTTTTTCACTGTAGGTGGAGGGAATCTTCCCAGCTGCATGGTGAGATCTGGCTTCAGCTACACTTGCTTGTGGGGTTTTCTCCCAACAGGTATCGACACCGCCCCACACTAAGTAATTTCGCGTCGCTAGCTGGACAAAAATACACAAATCAACTTCATTGAAAAAGGCTAGAAACAAAATTTCCTTCGAAGTACATGAACCAGAGAACAAGGCATTGTATTTGGGAACACACTGACGGTAATGGGGACGATGTGGCAACGTCCAGAAGCGACCCAGGCGACAGTGCGCCTCCACCCGAGTTACCGCAGCTTGTGAATAAGGGTCTTCACTGTTCTCTGAAAGATGAAATTCGACTGCGTCGACACAGAGCAATCTGTCGCTGATATGTCGCTCTCTGGTAACATAAATTTTTGAAGATATTTCCTAAACTTATACTGATAAAAATAATTATTTTAACACTCAACAACATTTCAAACGGATTTTGAATGATATGGTTGTATACCGTAACATAAATTTTTGAAGATATTTCCTACACTTATACTGATAAAAATAATTATTTTAACACTCGACAACTTTTCAAACGGATTTTGAATGATATGGTTGTATACCTCCACAAAACAATAGCTCACTTTTTTGTTTTGAAAATTGTACCGACTCATTACTACACAGGCCTATCTCCTATCTGCGCTGGTGCAATATTTCGTGCTACTATCCGAAACTTTGTGAGAATAGCTTTCCTCTTGTAGGAACTGCACTCTCGCGCGGCGAAGGCACCAGGAAAGAATTGTTCGAATTCATGCGTAGAGTTGGAAGTCAGAATGTCTTAACAGTAGGTAATTAAAATATTACTTAATTACATAGTCTCCCGCTTGGGACTTGAAATCTCGAAGTCAACTAAGGAGGATATTTACATGAAAATCTGGACGTTCTGTGACAACCTTACGAAGCGTTGGAAACAGTTTCACTGTATGTAAGCTGTTCTAAATGGCTCAGTGAAGAGTTATTTGTATCGGAATGTTCGAAACCCCGCACTACGAGACGAGGAAGGCATAAGAAGCTCTTTCACGAAAGCAGCGAAAGAGGAAAGGGTTGAAAGGTCAGTGACATTTTATTAAAAGTATCTTTCTCTGAGCTGTGGAATGAACGTCCCGCTTAGTTTACGATTAAGTAGCCAAAGAAAGATGGCCGATGTCATAGAACAGACCTCAACTATATAGTTCTCCTAGAACCCTGGGTAAAATGAAGCACGGAACAGATTCCACTGTACAGCCGGAATGCTATTCTTCTGCTTCATATTGATTCACTGATATTGGACAGGAATATAATTCTAACACGTACGTATTTCTAAGAGAGGATGCGTTTAGAAAAAAATATACTCTCTATCCTCATTAAAAATCCTGAAAGCAAAACCTCAACGTTATCCGGCTATTACAATTACTACACATTGGCTCAAATTATTATTCAGGGCATTCTAGACCTCACTTTAAAGAGTTTGGGCAAATTTAAGGAAACCATTTCAAATATTTTGAAAATGTTGATGGATAACGGAGAAAAACTTGGAGATTTGGAAATGGGGCTGTGATGGAAGTGAAAGCCACAGCACCTACAAGCAACATTTCGGGGACAGGGAGAGCTAAACATATATTTTTGGAAGACACACCACTGAGTGATGCATGTGTCTACTCGTAGGAGCGCCGACGACGCGTATGGTAAGTTTCAGCTATTGTTAAGAAACGTCTATTTAGTATTATCTCATTCTGTTCCACAAAAAAATTACTTCCTTTTACGTTACGACAAAAAAATAATGTAAGTTGAAAATTTTCATTTCATATTATTGCAGTGCAACAGCCAGATTGGTCATTATACATGTTTCAGTTCACATAGATTGTTGTCCTAAGTGTCTGAGCCAAATTTCGCCTTCCTATGCCCTCAAGATTAGGAGATAAAATTTTTGTCCACCTAGCGATGCAAAATTGATCACTGTGCCTAGCTGGGACAATCTCTAAGCTCCCGACTTTTCTACGAACATGTGTGGTAGTGTACTGCATGTAAGTGTAAGTGTTAGTTAGGGGTGAGGATAGGAAAGATCGCGCACGCGCACGCCCACTTAGGGTACTGCTCTGGGATTGATCGGAGAAATCACGAAAAACTGCCGATAAGAGCAGCCGGCCGCGAGAATTATCCTACAGCCAGCGACTAAATTCTCACCAGCTCTCTTATCTAGTGTCGAAAATCCTGCCACCGTCGTGACTCGACCCCTAGGATTCCCCGGTCAGAGGCACTGCAGTGACATCAGTTGGATGTTCTGTGCCACCTAAGCTGGTCCAGTTTTTTTTTTTTATTATTATTTTTTTTTTAACAAGACACTTGCTTTGTGAACATGTACCTTAAATGACTCCACTCCCATTGAACAACTTAACGAAGCGGCCAACCCCTTTCTCTCGACACCGTATTAGCATTTCTTGAATGACTTCTTACGCAGCTCTCGGCTCTGCGTCCCCCTGATGATGCTCCAAGCGACTGGTGGTGTGCTAGGCACTCAACGTGTTACATCAGAGAAATTTGGATTAAAAAATAACGCACTTGGAATTATTTATTTATTTAATTTTAATTCAGTTTCAATTTCAATTCAATTCATGATTACACTTATTCTGTGATAATAAATTTGGAAATCGTTGCCCTTTTTATATTTTCAAAGAAAGATTATATTGGCAAAACGGTAAGTCAGAAATGGTTATGACTGAAGACCCAAATATGACAGATCTCAGGAGTGCTCGGTTAAACCGCCCATTAGCCAGAAGTGGATAACATTGTTATTCGTACGAATGATGATTAACGAATCATTTGGAGCTCAACCGGCTAACGTTGGTATTGGCCATAGGATGCTAGCTAAAGTAACGTATTTATCTGAATGTGAGGCGTGCATCCTGAAGAAGTATTTTGGCATTAAAATGAAGCATAAAATTGAAAATTAGTTGTTTCATGTAAATTGCGAAGGCCGGAGTCTCATCACTAGACCTCAGAATTTTAAGCATAAAAAATTATGATTTGGGTAATATGTAAGAAAATTACGATATTGGGCACTATTAGGCATGAAAAGTGACGTTTTAGGCACTTAAATAGGTTACAAAATGACTAAACCAGGCAAAAAAAAGTTATATTTCTAGCATCTAAAACTGCTCACAAAAGAATTAAATTCGGCATTTTCTATTATGCAGGAAAGTCACGTCCTATTTTTTTGCATTAATGAGACTACAAGCACGTTATTTTATTCAGATTCATAATTAGCAGTATAATATATATATATATATATATATATATATATATATATATATATATATATATATATTCAATGTACTTTGGCACTACAGCTCTTTATGAGCTGGGTCCCGGGCTTGCGGCACGTTGGTCTTGTACGTGAAGTTAACTCATTGCTATTACTACGCTGTATTCTGGTCTTCTCAATCTCAGAGGTGAGCTTTCTCATCGCCACACAGCAACAGATACTGGAATATTGCAAGGAAAACGCATTATTAATTTTGCACCGACCGGGAATCGAACCTGCGAATGCGACTTGAAAAGCGAGAACGCCGACCAACGAGTCACCGAGAGCCTGTATGTTTTCCATATTTTCTCCAAATTTTCTAGAGTACGTCTATGTCTTTTATGTTTTAAAATCATTTTGAAAACTGACAGTGACACACAGATTTATAGGAGCAATCATTTCTCATTCCCACTTCTTCTGGATCTTCTTCACTCCCCCAAAAACCAAAAACAAGAACATGTTCCACATGACCCATTTAACCATTGGGTCGTACTTTGTAAGCTTCTCCTTTCCAACAGTAGGCTTTTGCCTGACCTGTGTCTTTCCTCGCTGGACTACGAAGACGACGCGCGTGGCGATATGCCTCAACCTGTCAACAGCGCAGGACTGGGTGCCAGGAATGGGTGCAGTTGCCCAAGAAATGCGTACTGATCGAAGACGTGCGTGGATCATTCTTTTTATGTTGGCTTGCAGAGTTCCTTCTGATCGGTGTGTTGGGTGAGAGATTTCGGTGCGTAGTTGATTGCGTATTGGATCAGATAATATTTGCATTTCGGAAAATTCGGGAAAGTATTTGCGTTTCCGTAAAACAAATTTCTAAAAAATGTAGCGTAATTAAAATATGATAATTCTTCAAAATTACTTTGGGCAAACATATATTAAAATAAGTATCTTTTAGGACATTTTAGGCACTATTAGATGATTATTTATAGGAGAAACCACAGTAAACTACCGATCAGAGCAGCGAGCCGCTATAATTCTCCTCCAGACAGAGACTGAATTCCACCTACCCATGTAACTAGTGTCGAAAAGTCTGCCGAACTAGGACCTCCCGATGACAGGCACTTCAATGACATCAGTTGATGCCCTGAGCCATCTCTCCCGGTGAGCTGTTGGAAATGATGCGAGAAAATGTGTGCTGTTGGAGCTCCTCTTGTTTATATAAGTTACTCGCATCTCTCTTTCAAAGTGTCTATACATTTTAATTAAACAAATAAGTAATTTCTAGAAAAAAATAAATCTCGTGCATCATGTTATCTTTACTCCGAACTGTCAAGGTAGCCATATCGATTGTGCCCGATTGCTTCGTGTCGCCTGATTCATTCGAAATTGTAAGAAGTATCGAATATGTTTCAGGGCTTTGTGATGTATGTAATTATGTCTATTTACTAAATCCCAATTTACCCTGTTTATTTTCTTCGCTAATATGTATTATTCATTCCACATTCTGTGTTGAGTTCATCATCATGTAATTGTAAATCTTTCCTGACAGATTCTGTATCCCTACTGTTTTATTTCAGGTCAAAAAATTATACATTAGAAACTTGTCTTCTTCAACATCAGAAGGAGATATCAAGACAGCTTTTGAATGCGACTTCCCACCCGGTACGGTAGAGAAGGTAAAGAAGATCAAAGACTTCTGTTTCGTGCACTTCACCAACAGACAAGCTGCGGAGATAGCTCTACAATATTGGCATAGTAAGGAAGATCAGAATTCTATGTTTTATATTACACATAGTGTTAAGAGTCGCATGCGAATGGGGGTGTCAACGACGGATCCAGAGGTAGTTTCTTTCGTCTTTATTTATTCAGGTGAGGAGTTACCGCTTCATCATGTAGGACGTTTAATATTAGAACCTTTTTTAGCCCTAAGGGAGAGTTTCGAGTATCAACGCTTATCGAACGATTAAAAAAATTGAAACAGTCACGTCCGTCGCTTCATGGCAATTCCGGCATGTTCTAATAGCCATACAACACGTTGAAATTATATTTTTCTGCGCGTCGATGGTGATAATATTTGTGCAATCCTATAAACATGGTAACCGTCCCACAAGTTCGTCAGAGAAAAAGGACATGGCCATCTGTCACCGCGGAGAGGATGGCAAGAACAGAAAATGTTCAAAGTATACATGCCTTTATCATACCTCAAAAACAAAATATTTCAACACAAACTTGCTGAAAATGATTTTAATACACTCCTAGTTGCATGTGCCATTAGTTCTTAATAGATAATAAGTTTTCCCGTAATTATTTTGCAAATTATTCTGGGTCCCACCCTGGACCTCACACGGCGTTCTCCGGGTACTGCAAAAGTATTTGTGAGCGACTGTTGATCTTAGAAAACAAATTTAAAATAAAATACATATTTTAATTGTCAATAAAGTTACAAGTAAGTTGTAATTCAGTGACATAGCATTATACTCACGGGGGGTTATGCGATGGTTTTGAAAACATTGCGTACGCATGGGGAGTTCAATTTGACCCAGAAACGGGACTGTGAAAAACGCTAGTTCTGTGAAATTAGCGACTTTTGAACGCTTCTCTGTATTATACCAGTGCAACGGTAGGCCCTTTATAATGTTTTGGGTAATAGGAAACTCATCGAAGTCCAACCTTGTAGAACGCTCCTGTAAATTGTCTTGATTCTAAAATTGCAGTGCCGTTTGGCGTCTCGTGGATGCAGGGCAGGTTTTTTTTCTTTTTGCATTTAATTATCACGTTTTTAAGCATTTTAGAAGTAGTATGCGGGAAAACAACCTGGAACAGTATATTATAACCAGGAACATTCACGAATTCAAACACTCCGAATTGTTAAAATTTTACTTCGTGATGTTCAAAACTTCAAAAACGGGTTGTAAAAATGTAGCTACGAAATTCTACAGAAAGTGCTAGAAAAACTATTTCTATTGCCTCTCATACGGAGTAGAAGGTATAAAGTAAACGTGATCGCATGATACCACAAGCGGAGAAATATGAAACAAATAACAATTGCATTTTGGCCTATGACAGCCATGGTATTTTCGTGTGTCTTCCTGTTCGTGAGGACCAAACTGTCACTGCCACGTACTACGGATCTTTTCTGCTGCACACTCAGTGTCGTATCCTATGGAGGAAACGTCCAGGGCTTCTCAACAATGCAATACTCCTCAGTGATAATGCAACAAGCTACACTGCAGCCTGTGTCCAGAACCTTTGCAGTGGTGGGGGGTGCAGATCTTGGACACCCTCCGTACTCCCCTGATCACAGTCCTTGCGACTTTGATCTCATTCCAAAAATGAAGACGCTGCTGCATGGCAACAGGTTTGCAAACAGGGAGGACATCATAACAACCTAACTGCCAATCGATGAGAGGTTGCGCGCATAGACGCATTACACACAGCTCATGGTATTCATCGCCTTCCCTCTGGGGATCATTTTTTAAGGTTGTTAGCTCGTAAGTGTACGAGTACTACGCGTGCTGTACTGTTTTGTTTTGTTTAATTTTGTTTTGTGCGTATGTAATACGAATAAAACTCCGATCAATGTTCAATGTCCCTTACCCATATCACCTTGTACCCGGATCCCAATTTAGTGCCAGCACTGCAAACAAAATTCCAGCTACTTTCAATTGTATATCCTGATTTTTATTTCCTGTAACTTTATTGACTGACATAAACTAGTTGCCATGACTTCTTAAATGACCCTCGTTTATGAGTAGTGGACAATCCAAATACTTTGTTTTCTTTGAAGTTTCTTAAAATCCGATTTAAAATATAGGTTTATTCACTAATTTTACAGAAAAGAAGCTTGGCGACAGTATTATTGAAGTTTCTTGGGCAAAACCTAAGGACAAATTAATTCCAAGGCCACACTTAAAGAAATATGAACGCTCAATAGGCCATGATTTATTGAAAGCTGACAGCATTCAAGAAAATATGAGTGCTTTCTCAAGGTAATGTTTATTTCTGTTTCTTTTTTTCTCCTCAATTTTCTTTTTCTTTTATACTCTGTTTGTACTTGGCGTGACAGACCTCAACTGGGCCAGGGTCTTCCAGCAGCGTCCCAACCTCACAGCTGTGGATTCAAGGGGTACGTGTGGTTAGCACTATAACGCGTAGAATATGTGGTTAGCACAAAGAAATCCCTACGCCGTATTCTGGTCTTCTCATTCTGTGAAATGAGTTTTCTTAACGTCACACAGCAACATATACAGGGACTTTGCAAGGAAAACACACAGTATATTCTTGCCCGACTGGGAATCGAACCCATGGTCGCGGAATGGAAAGCTGACCAATCGGCTAAACTGCGAGTGCTCCTTTAATACTTTTTCTCTTTAATTTCTCGTATAAATAGTAGGGAAAGTTATCGAATGGTGAACTAGTGGAGTTCCAACAGCACATACTTTCTCATATTATTTCTAAATTTGCAATTTTCGAAAGTACAGAGAGATCAACGAAAATGAGACCTGCACCATTTTTTTAAAGTGTTCCTGGCTTTATCCATGTAAAAAGTTAACAAAAAAAATTTTCGTTGGAGTGTTTTTTGAGAGACTGGTTTTGTATAAATTGCATTAATTATAAGCAGAAATTACGCAAAAACGACTTGTTTAAAAAATTGTACATTACCTTTTTTTAGAGAGCTGAGTTTTTAAAAAGCTTAATATAAGAACATTATGTGTTTTCAGACAACTGAAAAAAATCTTATATTCAAAGTTATTCAAATCTTATATTCAAAAACATAGAAGTAATTTTCTGTTGTTTTTTTCCTTCTTTTCAATTTAGTATTTTATGAAATATTTTTCCCCCAAAATTGTTTTACTTATAAACCTGCTTTTATCTTATAATTTGTCGTGAATGAGCATATGATAGCAGATGAGCTTCTTAGATGTTTCTTTAAAAGTACGATATTTTTTACCTTCAAATAAGACACAAAAGTATGATTTTTCATTTTTCTGTTATCATCATATTTGATGAGCAATTTAAGTCAGATTTTATGTTTTCATTAATTTAATTTTCACGAACATCTTTTGAGCTTTTAAATTTATTTACATTAGGAAAGAATGCCATTCAGTGTCAATTTTTTATCTCGAAGCAGTCTTTCCTACCCAGTGTAGTTGGCTGTCACGCCTGCGTGTCAATTTGTTAATAAATTTCATTAACTCAAGTTTTGAGTATTAAAATAACAATAATAATAACAATAACAATAACAATAAAGTGCAATAATGCACTTTATATATCGCATGTATATTCAGGAAATTATTACTACGTAACGTGTTGAAATTGTTGAGTATAAATGATTAATAATTGGTTATATGTTGTTGCAGAAATTGCACGGTAATGTTCCAGCCTACTTATCAGTCTTCTAACATTCACCAAGGTACAATTAATCTTGAAGGCATAAATAGCAGCACTTTACCCCAGGTGAGTAAAGCATGTCAGCAGGAATATAATTTTGTACAGGTATCTAAAAATCACACCACGAAACAATAATGCTTCTGGAATGAATTGCTGTACATGGGCATGTATGCTTTCTTTCACCTCATAAATCGAACAGAAAATAAAATTTAACACTCAGTATACAATTAAATGCATTTTGATTTCTTAGTCCCCAAAAGATGAGCGATGGTATTATTACAGAAAACCATTAAAAGTACATTTTAAGTTTCAATTCTACTTATAGTAATCAGATAAACTGCGGAGGTCTGTTTATTATACATATTGTTCAGATGTCTTCCAGTCCACAGTCAGGGTCCATAGTTTGAGTTATTTGATGTGGGGCAATTGGTCATTTTTGGCAGATTCAATTGGCTCTACTACCAACTTATGTGGCTCAGGGCATTAATATGAGCAGTGCCTCTGCCCAGGTGTGCCTGTACCATTGACAAAATTTTCACGAGCAAGAATATTCCTCGATTGACTGGCTAATTTGGCCTCTCGAATTTGAACTAGTTTTCAAACTATGAGTAGTTATTGTAAAATTTTAAAGAAGAAAAAAAATTAAATTTTGAGAAAAAAAAATTTCTGCAATATGATAGAGTTAAATTAATTACTGCATTGGGTTTTCCAGGTGGTATTATAGATCATGTTTTTAAATTACTTATTGAAGAGAAATTTTATTCTTTATTCATTTTCACAAGGTTTTGTGGTCACATTTTCAGGTACAAGTGTTCCATAATTTTCATATCAACATTATCAAAATAACACTTTTTTTCTCTTCCAATTCTTTTTTGACGTTCCAAGATCTTGTTTCAAAGCTTTTTGACATCAATATAGGGTAATTTTTCTTGAACTTTGTCAGTCATACCTCATGTCATAAGTCATTGCCTTTAATAGTTTAAATAAACATGATTGTATGTAGGATGTTTGAATATCATTGTTTTTCATTTTATTAACTTTTATGAATGTTTTTATTTAACAATTCAGTATCCTGCCTTTGAAAATCCTGGAATGTATTCCAATACTGCGCAAGGACTATATTATGGTAAGTAGAAATAGATGATAGGTTTCTGGTAATTCATTCTTAATTGAGTGTCTTAAATAGGTATCAATTTAATTTGTTTCATACTAGTAATTGCATACAATAAAATAATTTAAAAATAACTTATACTGAAGCATTTTCATGATGTGTGTTTGATGTTATATCAAACACATCATTCAAACTTTTATCTACAAGGATTGAAAATCAATTTCTTATTTTATGACATAAATATTTCTATGATTAGTTTTCATGAACTCAGTTAAGACAAATGTGATTCATTTAATTCAATCCACAACTTTGTTTTGAGCAGTTTTATAATGAAGTCATTATTGAAGTAGTGCTATCCATTAGAGCACTAGTGCTACAATAAAACTTCTTTCATCATTGAAATGAGTATGGTAATCAAACATTATCTCATTAATGTAGATGAAGAAATTACATGGCATTTTTCAAAGTTTTTCCTAGCAATTCCTAGCAAACACATTCTTAAACAGAAGTCATAGTGTTAAAATTACAAATAAACCTGAAACAATTGGCATTCTATAAACTATAAATATTCTATATTCTATGAGCTATAAAAGCTATGATGATGATCACTATTTGAACGGGGGAATCTCAAGGTTTTAATCCTCTAAGTGATACTTGTTCAATAATATATTTTTCTAAATTCACACCCATAACCTTTTGTTTTGGCAAAAGTATAGATCCCAGCTTGCTAGTTGTGTGATTTGCTGGAATTAATTCCAATGGTCCTAGTCATGGGTATTTGATGCTGCTACTTCGTTTCAAGTCGCATGCAATTGTATGCCCCAGCTTTTCAATCTACCGTCAACTCTGTAAGTGTCAGCACTACAAAGATCACTTCCCTGAAGGTGACCATTGCAAGAGCTACTAAGGAAATATTGTCCATTTAATTTTAAATCACACGTAAGAAAGTGTAATTTTATTCCCAAATTTTTATCAAAACATTAACAAATGATACTTCATTGTAGTCCTCTATTTAAGATTTATCCTAATGTTATGTTGGTATACACTGGAGAGCAGAGGATCTGGTGGGGAGGCAGCAAGGAGTGAAGTAAGAGAACATGTGGAATAAAGCAGACTGAATTGTGATAAGTGTATTATTTCAATAGCCACTATAACATGATATCAGGAGTGAAGCTGTATGTCTATATGTACTACTCCTTTGAGAAAACAATTGAAGTTCGATGATGGATAAAATTTATATTTGAACAAGAGAAAGTGAAGTACACAAAGCAAGGTTAGGATGAATGCCGACCGCAATTTTTAAAAATTTTATTGCTTCTCAAACAATGTTGATACAACAGATGCATAAGGAATATACAGAAGATGCATCTAAGAATAATGACTGTCTACAACTGAAAGGAAAATCATTAAAGAGGTTACAGGAGCAAGTAGAACATCAGATGTTGGCTTTGCAGGTGAACCAAGCAGCCCAGACAACAAGGGAACAGGGTTGGAGGCAACAAAATGCTTATTACGCAGAATATACCTTGGCCATAGCTACTGGATGTCAAAACAGGTAACATATACGAAAACTTTGTGTTGCTATCAGTGTTCGGAAATAAAGTTAAAAAAAGTTTCAAATTTCCACTTGAAGGATGAAGAAAAACCATCTACCAGGAATGTTTTGAAATTAATTGGGGAACGTTTGATATTGGAGAGAGGAATCTTTTATACGATCGTTTTATATTTCATAATTATTATTAGAGGACGAATCATTGAGTATTACTTTTTAAGAATTAGAAAAGCCCTCGACCTTTGTAGATATAATGGAAATGTCATGTATGTGACGATACGTTGAGATTGATTGGCTTTCGGTATAAATGAAAAAGTTACTTTGTGAGAATCCTGACATGTTGAATGGTGAAAAGCTTAGTTCTGATTTGTAAAGCCAGTGAACTTTCAGAGCTACGTCAGAAGAGTATTTATATTGAAGATAAAACATAAAATCTCATTTAAAAAAAGTCCCCCTCCCCAAAAAAATCAGCAAATAGTCAATGATGTCGGTTTTGTGGTGGTAAACATGACTTTAAAAAGAAATTGTGTCCAGCAGGGAGCAAGACTTGAGTTATTTGTCGATGTCAAAATCATTTTGCAAGAGTTTGTTTGAATAATGAGTAGAAAAAGGAAAGTGGTACAGACAACTTGAAGGGAAGACACAAATCCATTAAAGAAATTAAGAAAAAGGAAGAAACTTCTGATGTCAACAGTTGTGATTCATATGTTGAGAACTCATTGGAGGTGTTTAAAATGGAATCAGTCAAGGACCATGGAAGGAAGAGTAGGATTACAATAGATGGTTTTTTTTTATCAATGAAAGAAAGTTTATTATTATCTAGATACCTGCTCCTAGGCAAATGTTTTAGGTTGTCAAAACTACTGTAAGTTAACAGAGGAAACTGCACCAAAACTTCACCAAACCCAATGCTTCTGTGGAACAGTTAAGGAATTTTGGTGGAGGGCCTGTTGAAGTATTGGGGGAAGCTGATATTTTGTGTAGAAGAAATGAGGAACAATTCGTTCTCAGGTTTCTGGTGGTTAATATTAATAATGGCCCTTTATTATCAGAGAAGACATTTCTAGCATTAGGTTTGGTGAAATTTGCTTTGAAATAAATAGAGAGAATTAGGAGAGGGTTGTAAAGCAACAACCTCTCTACTAAAAAAATATCAATCGGTTTCCAATGATATTGGGTTATGCCCAATGACTTTTCTCTCGAAGTTAATGAGAAAATAGAACTATTGGTTCAACCAGCAAGAAGAGTGCCCATCAGTTTGAGGAATGAGGGATGAAGGAAGAATTGGCCAGACTGGAGAAGGAAGGATTCATTACTTGGGAACACAACAATTCTGATTGGGTAAGCAATATTTTACTTGTTAAGATAAATAATAGCGTGCGGAGGATTTGAATAGATCCGGTACAAAGCCAAAAAGCTCTTTTTTTTAGTTTACAACTTTTGATGAAATTCTGGGAAAGGCTTAAGTGTTTTCAACTTTAGATACAAAAAAGGGGATTCTGGCTGATAAAATTAACAAAGCAGAGCAGCGAGCTTTTGGACTTAGTTGTGAAGATATTGATGGATGAGGCACCCTTTGGAACATCATCATCACCAGAAATTTTTGCAAAGGAAATGCTACAAATTACTCACAATTAAGAAGCATTGAAATATTAGTTGATCACATTCTAATTTATGGATGTGGAAATTCTTTTGATGAGGCATTGAGAGATCATAACCATAATTTGGAGAATCTCTTCAACAAAGATAAAACCGAGCTATGCCAAACATCTGTAAAATTTTTGATCACATTCTGACATGCGAAGGTTACAACTTTACCTAAATGAAACAAATTCGATTATAAAAATGCCTTCCCCAAAGATCAAAACAGCTCCTTCGGTTTTTAGGTATGGTGACATATTTGAGTCAACATATTGAGAATCTGACCAAGGAAACTAGCATCTTGAGAAGACATATGAGGGACGATGTAGACTGATCATGGACCAGTGAATAAAAAGAGGCTTTCGTGAAGAATCTGGAAGCTAATATAGTCTCAGCAATATTTCGATGTGAACCAACCAGTGGTTCTAGAATGTGATGCTAGCTCTACAGGTTTGGGGGTCTCTATCTGAAGGATAAAGTTGTTGGATATGCTTCTAGGGCGCTCACAAAAGAGAAAAAAATTATGCTCAGATCGAAAAGGAGCTTTTCACTATAGTTTTTGGATGCACAAGATTTAATCAACTATTGGCTGGTAATAAACAAATTATAATAAAAACCGACTCCAATTACTTGATTTAAATTTTCAAGAAACCCTTTATGAAAGCTCCTAAATTACTCCAACTAATGTTGATGACATTACAAAGGTACCATCTGGAAATACAATTTGTGAAAGGAAAAGAGAATGTGGGTGTAGATGTTTTATCAAGAGCATCTGTGGGAAATGATCATGTAAAAGAAAACCTGTGAGACTAAAGTAAATGAAGCATAGGTCTGATTTTCATGGTTAACTCTGAATTTTCGAAAATTTCGAAAGTTTTTGGGCGTCTTCCTACATCTACTAAGTTGAAAATAGAGATGTTTCTTAACATATATAAATTTGTTCTCCATAGTGAATTCTTTCATTAAGGTCTTGAAGGTTTTTTTGAAAATTTTAGTAGCTTTCGCGCATTTTGTTTGCAATATGTGCAATTTTATATAATTACAAAAACAAGATTTTCTCAAAAACGGCTCCCATTTTTTCTTTAAACTTTTGGTAGGGGTACTGCTGAATGTACTCTATGAGATGACAAACATCAATTTGCTTGATTATTTTGTTGTTGTTTTACAAAAATTTAAATAAATATTTTTTTAACTTTTCTCTTATGTTGTTAATATTTACATTAGCGGCGATTTGTTCACATTATTTTATTTATGAATACATGTACTTTGAATAATGCCATATAATGTTTCTCAAAAACTCAACCATCTTCTGTACAAACTACTCAAAATTCAAACGCCATTTTATCAAAAACGGTTCCAAATTTTTTCTTCAAACTTTTCGAACGAATAGTGCTAATTGCACTCTTTAATATGACTTCATGTTCATTTTGGGGAATTTTTTGTTTTTTGAAAAATTACACAAATGTAATTTTTTGAAAGATTTATTACGCCGTTAAATATGCACATTTCCAACAATGTGTAAACACCATTAAATTTGTAAGTTAAAGTGCTTCAAATGACTCCTAATGAAGTTTTTCGAGAAATAAAAAAAAATATGCGAAGAAGTTTCAAATTTCGAATTTACGGTAGTGCTTTAATGCCATATTCTTAAAAGCGGCTACAAATTTTTCAAAGAAAATTGCCATTTAGAACTAGGTGTTCTTTAATATTCTTTAAATAATATTTTCGTTCTATTATTAGGAAACCGAACAATTAAGAAAATTTCAAAAAAATGTACTGTGGGCAGCGATAGATGGCAGGTGGCAAGAGTATGTGGCAAGTCTGGGAATAGCTAGCCGAGACAAAAGGAAATAGAAAATTAATACGGGAAAATCTCTTCTGTACCACTAATTTTGTATTTGCCGCCGGCGCCGCATTTTGCGCACGCGCGTTAGCGACCGTTTTGCCGCCACCTCCTGTGTCGGGTAGTTGCCGCGACCGCGCGGACTTGCCGCACCTGACGCGGACAGACGATCAATTTGGTCGTCCTCGGCCGAGCACCCAACAAAGAAAGCAGCCAAGCCAGACTATCTTTTTTTTTGTCTCATTCTAAGGACCAGCAAACGAGAAGTTTTTCAAAATCCCTCATGTATAAAGACATTAGAATATGTAAAGTACACAGAAAGTCCGGGGAGGAGAGGTAGAAACTTCGAAAATAAACTCTTAAGACAATTTTAAGCATATTTTATGTAATAAACTACTTCGATATTCCTAATGGTTAATCCGTGAAAATCACTTAAAAGTTGGTTTGGAAAAATGCTTTCTAGGAAAAATTTGCATTGTAGAAAGCATAAAAACACTCTAGAAACTTGTAAATTGTTTATTATTTACAAAAGAAGTGAATATATTTGTTCAGAAAGAAAAATTAACTCAGAAATAAAATAGCAGTCGATTTGTGTAAATTGGGTAATTTTTATTTCTGTGTTAATTGTGTAAATAATAAACAATTTACATCTTTCTAGAGTGTTTCTATGCTTCTACAATGCAAATTTTTCCTAGAAAGCATTTTTTCAAACACACTTTTGAGTACATATTGTGGCTCAACAATTCAGAATATCCAAGTAAGACAATATTAGACAAAATAGCTATAAATTGTCTTAAGAGCTTTTTTTGTGAAATTTTTAACATTTCCTTCCTGGACACCTGTATACGTACCTACAAACAAATTTTAACTCTTCTACAAAATAGATTTGTCAAAGACTTAAAAGAAACATGAATAACACCCCAAGTTGACCTTGACAACTTGCTGGATTGAAAGACTAAAAAATCTTTAATTCAGTTTCTATTTGCATTATTATTTAAAATGTATTAATCTTGAGTAAATTATCTAAAAAGAAGTTAAATTACTTTTGATTGGCATAATGTACAAAAATGTTCATGAAAGCAATAAAGTTTAAAGTGTTTTTTTTTTCTTCTTTCTTTCTTTTTTTTCTTTTCTTTTCTTAATTCTTTTTCCACGTTGTACTGGGTTGAAACTGTCAACAGAATTAAATTTTTTTTATCACAAACTTTTTTGGGTCGTATTTTTTATTGGATGCAGTTATAATGAATAACGGTAAAATGTTGAAATAAGGTAAAATGATTATGTACTTTTAATTTATTAATTCTGTGTAATGCATTTGAATATGTTATAAGCTCTTATGTTTCTTCAATAAAGTGATTTAAATATTATAATTAACTGTGTTTAGGACCTGCAGCATCACAACAAATGCCATCTGTTGGTGGTCAGATGGGCATGTGCACTCCTTTTTATCAAGGGCAATCTCTATATGTTCCTTATGGTGAGAAGAGTTTTGAACAATTATTTTTTCTGATTAAAAACAATTTCTTAAGCATATTTGAATATGTGCTGTTTTAAAGCAGGATTTTTCATCACTTGAAATACCTACTGTCTTTTGAAAATATTCTAGAACTTTTCATAAAACCATTTTGCTTGGTGGTATTTGTTAGATTCCAATATACAATAGCTTTTAATCAGTAATTAAAATTAATAAAAAAATAGTAAGTTGCTATCATTATTGATGTTAGAATAGAGATAATTGAGTAGCAAACAATTGCTTATTTATTTTTAAACTTTGTTTCCCTCGAGAGATTTAATGGCTACCTTGATATATGATTTTGGCTTTTTTGTTTTTGAACATATTTTAATAATCAACTCCTTTTTAAAAATTTAGAACCAGCAGGTGTTTCTGAAGCCCAGATATCAGAGGACTTTGCTCACAATGGTTATCCCACTGACGAAACAGGATGTGGAGCTTCTGTATATTGTAAGTACGTTATTTCAGACATAATTCTATGTTGAGGAAAAACTTAGTGATCTATAATAGTCAATATTTTAATGAACATAAACAATTTGTTTGTTGTTTATGGCAAAATAATTTATACTAGGTATTTGAAGAAGGCACAAACTTAAAACCTTGACAAAATTGTGAATATTGGATTTTTGTATAGGCCCTATATGTATGTGTATGTAAATATATATTCATGACCTTCCTTGCCCCTGGTTTGATTATTTCTAGTAGATTTACTCATTGATTTTGAGGTATTTGTAAAAAACTGAATGAGTGCACACACTAATTTTGTTGTAAGGGGTAGGAAAGGAAGATAGGGATAATTTTATGTTATATCATGTAGACAGTAACTTATCTATTGTTTTGAAGGTCTTGAGTATAAAAATTTCATCAAGATTAGAAAAAACACCAGATTTGCATCCTAAAACAAACAACTTGTACAATTGTACAACTTTTTACAATAGAAAATTATAATTTGAAAAAAGTTGCTTCAGTTATGCCTGCGAAAATACTCAATGTTTCAATGAGTATTCCCCTTCAAAATCTGATTATCCAATCTTGAAAATACCCTAGACAAAAAGACTTACTGACAAATAGACAAAAAATGTAAAATCAATTGAATGTATTTTTATATCTAGTTTAGCATATGTGATAATAAAAAGGAAGTTACCTAGTGTAATATTAGGAGTTCTTTCAAAGTTGAAAGAAAATTATTTAAAAAACTATGATTCTTCACCTCCCACTTCATGTGCCCATAAAACTTCACTTTAATTTATTTTTGACATCTCTTTATTTAATAAAAAAATATGTATTATTTTGATTTGATAATGATATATAATATAGAAGGGATGTTAGATAATCATAATACAGTTTAGAGAGAAACTGTATTTTGATTTTTGATTTAGGTCCGTATCAGGAGACTGCCAGTTAATGCACTGAAAAAGATACTGGCTCTTGCCAAAATTGTAATCTCGTGTATGTTGTTAAATGTAAATTAGTTGTAATCTTATGTCACATGGAGTGAAAGTTATACAAACTATAGTAGTAAATATAAGTAGTGTGGTGGCATTGGAATTATGGGGCTGAATTGGGCAAATACAGTACTTTGATAAAGCACTTTAAATACAAAATGCTTTTACAAAAGTAATTTAAACACAAAATACTTTCAGGACAGTATTTTAGATACAAAATCGTTTTTTAATGTACAAAATACAACCAATAGTGGTCCACAAGTTTCACAATTTAATTCTCAAAATTTGATACTGATTTACTTTTCATGCTCATGATTCTATAAGGGACTATTTTTATTTCTCAGATAAAAGTAAATGCCCTTTTTTAAAAAATTATTATTTTATGTGTAACCAGGTCAATTTTCAGAAGGTTCTTTACATTACCAGAATATTTTTCAGTACCAATAAATTCGAAGAGATAGCTTTGAGCTACACTGACATTTCCATCACACATTTTTAAAATGTGTGACTAAATGTGGCAATTATTGCCATTTGCCTTATGAATTAGAAGTATAAAATGCTTCTTAACCTCCTATTAAAATTATTTTTCCCATATTTAAGATTAAAGTGGCTATTTCATGAGAAAATAAGGTTTTTAATACAAAATAATCTTAGGAAGTATTTTCAATACAAATACTAAAAACCTATTCCAAAGCAAATATTTCATTTAAAATGCAAATTACAAATGTTCACTCATTTAAACGAAATCTTATTTCATTTTCAAGTTCTACTATTCAAAGGAAGAAAGAAAAGAAAGGGCAAAAAAAGGAAACAAGAAGAAAACTTTTTTGCAATACTAAACATATTTGAAAAACCTATTATGATTTTATGTCAAATAGAGGCCAGTGTATCTTTATAACAGTATAATATAACATTGCAGGGAAAAAAGGGAATTAAATACACATAATTGAAAGGAACTTGATTTTTATTATAACATTACCACATAAACGCATTAAGGCCAGTGGCATTTCGTGCTTGGGTTGCACAACCCCCAGATAATTCAAAAATATTTTATACTATGTTAGGAATATACATTCTCGTTTTAATGACATTCAATATTCAAGATATCACAGCAATATTGATATATGTGAAATCATTCTCATAACAAAAGTGCTTGTTACAATGTGCTTGAGTCGAACGCTGAATTTTCAAACCAAGTTCTTTTTTGTTTTGTATGAATTATATTACCGTCAATTGTCTCAATGCATAAACTAATACAAGTTCCCATTGGAAGTCAAAGCCAGAACCACGTGCGCGGAAAAGTATACAATATGTCTGACAGGGACACTACGCTTAAAATTATATGAGTAATGTTTCAATATAGACTATAATTTTACCTAGATTTAATTTATTTACTTTAATTGTTTACATTTTATTACATATAAGTGTTTTGAATTTTTGGAATTACAAAAAATTGAAAAAAAAACTACAAAGAAACTATTCTCAACTATTAACTGCCATACTCTTTCACCCAGCTTCTCGTGATTTCACTTTGCACACACTGCTCCCAGCAGTGCCTCGACCACGACCTCGACCAAGTCCTGCTCTCCGAGGCGCCATCGCGCCATCTACGAGTATCTCAATGGTAAAACCTTGAAATTCGTGCTCGTTCTCCCGCAATATAATCCATTGCTAAGGCTTAAAATACTTCAAATGTTTTCAAAATTTATTCTGAAATACTAGTTTTCGAGTAAATAGCCCTAGAATTTTGCTTGGCTACAGCTAAAGACGCTAATTCAAAAATTAACAGTTGTGAACAATTTCATCATTTTGAACAAAAAGCATATCATTAACGATATCAATCATTTTAAGCTTCTTAAAAAATGCAACCATTTTATAAAACCTACCCATGCGGACGACTTACTGCAATATCTTGAATATTGATTGTCATTAAAACGAGAATGTATATTCCTGACAAATTATAGAATATTTTTCGATTATCTGGGCGTTGCGCACCCGTGCAACGTAAGCACGAGCCGTCACACAACAAGAGGGGAGCAGACGGCCTCTGCCGAAAATTCTCCGTTTTCCGGCTCACGATTACAATACTTTTTTTTCTTACGAAGTACGGGCGAGAAAGTAAAAAAAAACAACAACAAAACACACACACAAACAAACCAATAACACAGATCCATGGCATTCGATTCAAGGCTTAAATTCTCAAATGATCAAATTTTTTGCATGGGCCAAAAATAAAAAGATTGAATTAATACATAAAAGCTGAGTATTTCAGGTATGTTCTGTGTCGTAATTGCATGAAATTTTATTTTTTTAATGTTCTGTGCCCCCTTAACCCGAGAGGGGTCGCGTGGGAGAATTTGGTCTCCATACTTTATTTGTCATGTACAGTCGTGTTTGAGAAAATTGTATACTCTTGTAACTTTCAGTACCTTTCCCCTAATCTTGCAAAATCCATTACTCGTCACATGATTGCAGGTTGTCTGCCAATTCTCTGGGATTTATTTTATTTCGGGGTGTCTGGAATCTCTAAGCTCCCGCGCGCCCTCCCCAAATATAGTAACTCCCCAACGTCAGAAGCTGCGAGGAGAGGTTGACACTGTCATCCAATCGGGAGCTTCAATACCAAAGTATTCAAGTAATAACGAAGTTTCCGATTGGAGTACGGTGTCCCTCTCTCCTTCCAACTGTGATCTTGGGGAGTCGCTATATTTCAATTGCACAATAGTAGCGGCCGCAGCGCGCCGGCGCGAACCTGCGTTTGCGCATGCGCCCGTCCCGATGATTGCCACCTCCTGTGCTGCATGGTGCCCTGCACTCCTCAAATGCGCCGAACCTCACGCAGTTGGTGGCGGCACAATCACCGCACCGGCATTAATATAACTTTAAAAACTTAAGGTTTTTGAAAATTTCCAAGACTTTTAAATTTATGTGAAAGACGTGGTCAATGAATATAATCACGTCCTGTACATCTTATTTTCACGGCACTCATTTGGATTGGTGATTCAAAAATAAAATGCTCTTGGATGATCTTCAAAACATTTTTTTTTTTGTAATTCAATTGATACAACACACGGTGAATCAAATATAAATTGAAGCTGAATAAATTATTTCTCCTCCATCACATTTTCAAACTTGATCTTTTTTCTTAGTTAACAAAAAATTTAAAAAATCGTTTATATTCACTTGAGTAATTAATAAATGGGCTTTTCTTTTTGCAAGAACAAATTAGCAACAAAGAAGAAAGTAAGTGGTATTATTGGGGTTGACCTGTTCCAGTTATTTTCTTCTTTCTTTTTTTGTATTAATCCATAGTCACTGCCACATTCTTTTTTAGTATATAGTCATTTAGCACATATTTATGGCTAATTTTTGTTTTGACCCCCACAATTATTGGTGTAAAACATTTCTACATCAACCTCCTTCTTAATACTTAGATAGTGTTGCCTGTTGCACCTTCCCATCTTTTTTTTTTTTGTGAATAGTTCTTTGATCACTTGAAGCACTTATTCTGTTCACACTAAGTCTGTAACTATTACTACTAACGAAAGAGTGCAAGCCCACCTGCAAAACGTTTATCCAGGCCCCCTTTAATAAAGATTTTTTACCTGGGCCCACCTGCATTACGGGCCATGCGAGCCCGAATGTTACACCACTGGATGGAGTCACCTCATTTTACAGACACCCATCTTTGGGTATCTCACCAACCCTTTTTCTATTGTTCCCTGATATTTTTTTAAAATTATGTAGTTCTTTAGTAAAATGTATAAAATAATTTTGTTGAATAAATTGAAAAAAATTACTGGGTAATTTGGGGTAATTTCATGGTATTGGTTATTTCGTTCACCAAGCAATCAGTATTCAGCTCTAAACAAATACAAAGTAATTTAGGAACTTAAACTCAATGCTTCATGAGATGAATTCAGAAACACAGATTGTTGTCCTATCTCATGGCAAAATTTATCTAAATTATTACCTTTAAATCATTATTGAAATAAAATCAATGTTTCTCTATGATGAGTAATTCACATTATGACCTTTTTTTTTAACGGCAGCGCTGATACTTGTTCTGGTGTCAGATTTTGTTTGGTGTCTTTTAGTTGTCCTCTCAATACTATAGGTCACACTAAAAGAATATGAAATAAATAAAGAAATAAATAAAGGAATAAAAATAATTACACACACAGACAGCTCACTTACAAAGCATAGAATAGAACAGAAACATGACATAAATTTTGAAGAGGATTCTATTATCGATCATGAACACAGAAAATATTCCAGATTGGTGATGGAAACTCAATTTTAAACTGATTCCCACAGTGAACTTCATGGCAGAAAGTAACCAATTTACTAATATCCAAGATGACTTGCTTTGCAAAATTGTAAAAAAATATTTGTTATCCTTATCAATGTTGTCCCATGCCCACTTCCCAATTCTCTCTACAATCCTTCCTCCTCCTCTGTTTAACGCCTGCCTTCTGTGCGTGGCCGACTGCATACTTGCAGACAACCCCCATTCTATGGTAATCTACTTCAGTACTTGTGACAAGTCAAGGTAAAGATTGAAACATTCTCAATATTATTTTTAATATTTTTTGACAAAAATATTTAAGAAATTTTAACTTTACTTGTGGATTTTATCATGGTGGTGAGCTTAATACTTGTACTTGGTACCATTTATATTATTTCAGTTTTTAGTATGCTTGTCTGTTTGTTTTCATAATTTCAGGTTACCTGATGGCAGTGGCAATACCAGTTCTTATGATGTTATTCGCTAAATTTGAATAAACACTATACAGTATTTGACAGTTGTTTACTTTCCTTCTTGAACCCATAGGAGCATCCAATGGAATATTTATAGTGATGTCAAAAAATAACATGAGGCTATATTGAGATTATTTAAATATACCTGAAGACAGTCAAATTAAAATCTGTATGAAAACATACAACATTGTTTCATCAAATTTGACCAATAAGTAGTATTGTTTTGTATTAATATTTTTAAGCATCGCTGTAGTTGAACAAAAAGATAATAGAAGATAATCCACAAAGAATCCACAGATGTATAATGAAATTAAAATCCCTAAAAAACAAAAGAAATTTTCCTCTCAAATTTACATCTAACATTTAGAGCATAAAATCCCTAATGTGGTCAAACTGATTTTGTGCATTATGAGATGTGGGTATCAATTTTGAGGAAAAGGGGAGTTGTTTCCTAGAATTGTTTAAAATTAATAATTATTATAATAAAATGATAATAACAATAACAACTATAATAATAGTAATAATAATAATAATAATAATAATAATAATAATAATAATAATAATAATAATAATAATAATGTACTAATAATAATAAGAATAATAATAAACAAACATTTTAGTTGTTAAGATTTTTTTGTTGGTAATATTATCAATGCTGAACATAAAGTTCTGAATAAATTACATGAGTTTTGTTATAAATTACTCTGGGTTTATTACTATCAAAATAAATTTGTAACAAAGAAATGGCCTAAAGGTTTAAGTAATGTTTTACCCAGCTGCCACTTTGAGTGGTAGTTTCTCACCCCAATTTTTTTATCTGTCATGTAAGAAGAAACTTTAAATACCAGACTTTAGATGATAAGGTCACCCACACTCCTTGTACTATCAGCTGCAAGGGACCTCCAAACCTTGTAAATTAAAATTACTTTTGTGATATCACATCTGAAACAGATGTAAGCATTAATGATGCTCAGTTCACAACAAAAAATTCAGAAAAGCAGTCATATGGGGCACCAAAGAGACCAGTATTCTATTTTATATGCTCATGAAGTTGGCTTGTATTAAAACCTACCAAGCTGTCTCAGCTGCATAAAACATAGTATTCAATTTGAATGAATGTTAAAGATAGCGTGAATGACTTTGGTACATTTTAGTTTTGAAATATTCATTTTAAATAATTCATTGAATTATTGTGAATTTTCTGAATTGAAATGAACAACTAAAAAATTATGAATAGTACTGTAGTTATTTATTGAACTACTGAATTAAAAAAAAATCTATGATGATTTCAAATAAGTGATTGAAGTTAAAATTTTGTAAATAATATTTTTCCATCAAAAAGCTGTTATTGTTGCTGGTTGCTCCTAAGGTGGTGTCAGCTGGGGCAGTTCCCTCCCCCCTGCCCTGTGATATCTTACCGCCCTCAGTTCACTTTAAAACTGCAAAGCAATGATCTCACTTTTAGAAATTTTGAAAACCACTTCACTAAACATAGGTGCCAACTCTAGGGGGCCCAGGCCATTTCAGCTTCCTCAATAAAATTTGCGAGGGACTTTCCATCTTCCCAACAAAACTGGACAATATTAATTAATAAAACTTAACGTTATATATAGAAAATTTGGAAAACTGTGAGCTGTGATGGTAAATCAAGGAGATTACGATCATTTATCGGATTTCTAGAAGCTACTTTGACAAAAATGCCTCATAATCTATATTGATTTCATAAACAATGGTAGATCCAGTTCTTCTGCATAAAAATTTTCTCTGAGAAAATTCAGTTAAAAGTCCTATCTAGGTGCACAATTCAAACTTACTGCTGTGCTTCATTATGCTTGTTTGTAATGTATAGGAAACAGGACCAGTGACTTAAGTTCACTATAACCGAGCCATGAGTATATGACTTTTTATGGTTTATGGCTATGAATATTTGTCTTTGTTTATCTAGTTATGGAGATGGCGAGTACTAGTTGTCACCTCAAATTAACAAACATTAACAGGTATGGCATTACAATATTAACAACTTTACAGAGCCACATGTTACTGAGAGAACATTTGTTTGGAGTCAGCACAATGTGTTGCTGAGGGAAGGAGCCAGCGCAATGGGTTGCCAGCACATGTTATGTTAGGGTGTTAGATTGAATGCAAAAATCGTATGTCTTCAGGGGCAGAGAACTTTTAAAAAGGCGAGGTGCTAACAAAAGTAAGAAAGGAAATATTATCAGAGAAATAGGAAGGATTGATTGGCTTCATTTCAAAAAAATTATCTCGAATTATGTAAAATCAAAGACTATTCGCTAATGTTTAAATGTCATTAAAATATTATCAAATGTATTGTTTGAAATAATGGGTCAACTATTGTGAAGATAAGAGAAACAACCATAGTGGGTTTAGACCTGGAAATTCGAGTTCATCCACCTAAACACAATGAGACTGATTCAGATTTTAAGGTATAATATGGTAACATACAAAGTACTTTTATTTACAGATTTCTCATATTCTTATTCTTCTTATTTTTTCTTATGGGATTAGCATGCTCAGAGTTACCTTGTCATCTGAAGTGATCAGGGCTCATGCTGATTTGGATACATGATAATTCAGATGATCAAGTAACATTGACAAGTTAAGTTAAAAAGATGTTTAACAGAATAAACTGAACTTTAATTCTTGAAATTAAGTATAATGAACATAAAGTTGAGAAATTGCAAATACTCTAGACTAAACTACCTAAAAAAGGGGAATATAAATTAAATTGTATATGGAGGTTTATTACAAACACAATTTATTCTATAATTTTCTTTTTATTCCCAAAATATTCTTAATGTAGTTAATATATTAATAAGAACTATGTTTTTCTGTTGTTATTATTACACAAAGGTAGTAAAATATGTTCAAAATTAAATTATTACTTACATATATTGTTTCAATGTTGGTATTTTTTTATCAAAATTTATTAGGATAATTGGAGATTTTGGCGATTGGGCTTCAGATAATTAGAGTTCCACTGTGATTATATTCACATTTGAATTGTACTTTTTATTTTAAATGCTTTTTATCATCTTGATCATCTTATTGTCATTAGTGTCTCTAAGTGAAATTAAACATTATTTTGTTTAAGGGGAAAACGAGTTGATGAATAATGGTGCCTGTGGGATCCAACAAGTTGAAAGAAGAGGAGCAGTTTCAAATCCACAGTAGTCTTAATTACATAACATTGAATATTGGATTTTGCAACTTTTGTTTTAATTTTGGCTATTAGTTTGTTCATTTACAATTTTAAACAATACTTTGAATTGTATGTAAGAACATGCAAACATTATGTATTGTACGTAACAACATCCTACAAAATTAAATTTTGTTGCATATAATTAACATTGTTTCTGTAGATTTATATCATAATCTACTGAAACTCTACCAATTTTGGGAAATTAACTAAATTTCATTAGGATGTCTTAATGAATTTGTTTTTATTTGAAGGTGAATTCGATTTCAAAATATTGTAATACACTGTTCTGTAGGTATTATATGAATTGTCCTGAATATTAATTTGTCTTGCATTCTTCAATGTTTTAAAGAAGTTCAAATTCTGTATGGTTTGGTCATTTTAATATTTGTGGTGTAAATTTAATCCCCATGTGCATATTTTGTCATGGAAGAATTTATAAAGGACAGTATAATCAAGAGAGCAAATCATTCTTAATAATTATAGCACTCATAATGAAGTTCAAATTTCTCATCATTTAGATGATGTATGCATTTTTGTAACTATAGAATTATAGTTCTATAATACAAATTAGTATAAAAATAATTTTATCTCATTGAAGTAAAATGTTTTAAAGGAAGATGTATGATTGATTGTAAAATTTGTTGAAAATTTAAACATTTCTGTTGTTTGCTCTATTTTTTCTTTTGAAATTTTACTCTTGTACATGGGAATAATCACATGAATTTGATTATCCACTTGAAAAATGTGATTTCAAAATATTATCAGAGGATCCATAAATCTCTTTTATTTATCTTCTTCAATATCTCATTTTAAAGTGTTCTGAAAGCTATATCTTTGAATGATTGACAATATCTATATGCAACTCACAAAAAGGTATAAATATGAATTTCTCATTTGAAATAATTTTAATTTTTGTGAATGTAAGCAGTACTATGCATTATTTTTTTAATGTTTTAGAATCATTTTTACATCTGATTCAGAAATTTTGTGATTTAATTTATATTTTTGTTTCTTAAGCTTCAAGTAAAAAATTTTAACCAGGAAAATTCAGTGAAACAAGTTGTAAATTACAGCCTCAGAACAATCTTGTTTATAAGTGTACAAGTATTGATTGGAGTTGACCTCTTGTAATACTTGACAGATGTTTGCATGTTTTTCTCATAATATGTTTTTTGTACTTTTGATACTTTTCATTTCTCTTCATACAACATATTTTGTAATGTTTTATATGTCTCTGTTAGAACACAAGTATTTTTCAAAGATGTTTAAGTGTTCTGTGATTTTGATTTTCATATCTTACTAGATCTTGAATTGCAGAGAAGTTATCCAACAGTTAATTCCAACAGTAAATATTGATATTTATTATTGATTCTTTTGTTTTATTTTTTCCATAATTACCATTAGTATAATAATATTGCGATGTAATGAAGACATCGCAAGTCGACGTGACAGAACCCCTCTGACACGCGAATTACGCCCCAGCGCACCTCTCCGAGCAATTCGATACGCACTCGTGCAGCTATGCGGGTCCCTGCCGTAAAGGTCACTTGGGCACTGGCGGTGTCGCCCCTCGTCGCCCCCCGAATAAGCAATCTCACTGGCCCACAAAGGAGTATCTCCGCGTGTTGCCTCTCAAAGACTGTCCCCCACCACCCACTTCAACCCTGGTTCTAGGTGAATGTTAGTTTTATCACTGTGAAAAGTCACGTTAAGAGAATCCAGTAGCCCTGAGCTCTCTAAATCCCTTAGGTCGTGCCATAAGTCGATCAGGACGACATCAGGCAGCTGGCCCGCCACCCCTGATTTCTCCTCTTGATGGCCGTGGCGCGCAAAGGCGGCCAGTCCGAAGCTCCAGAAACTAAGGGGTCACCTTGGTCAAATCCACTTACAATCAGCAGTTGAAACCTGACAGCAGAAGGCACAAGAATAGCCAAAAACGTTCCACGTATCACACACGTGACCGAGAAAAGGCTTCTGGAAGGGGTGGGGAGCTGCAGGCAGGGAGTACAAATTTCACTAGAGATCAGACACTCGAGAGCACTTGAGAGAAAAGACTTGGCATGAAAACATATCAGTCACAACGTAGAAACTTTTCTTGGCGTATAAAACTTCGTGTCGAAGACTTGGTGACTGCACAGCGGAAACAATCATTCGCCAATGTATGACTGGTCAGTACCTGCTGTTCTGAACAGACCGAGTGTATGCTAATTGGAAGTTGGAATTAATTCCGTCTTACGGACCAGTCAGACCGACATCTGAAAGGATCCTGAAGAGGTGTGCAGCTTGCCATACTTTTCCCACCCTTTTCTCAACGTCGGAACCAAATTACAGGTTTGTATATGCTTGGCGCCCATTCATTAAAAATTGAGCGTGTGCGGCCTGCAATCCACTTCGTACCAAGCACACTCTGTGTATGACGGTACCCCCATTGTGATGACCAGTCACCGGGTCATTACAATAAGTTGAAATACTTCTTTTATGATTTCTTCAACATTAATATTGTTTTACTCCCTCACTATGTCTTTCTCCCCCCTCTTCGTACTGGGTTTCTTAACTCTGTGCTTGAATCAGTTCATTGTGGCAAGTACGCATTTCTGTCAAGTTTTGCTGCCATCTGCCCTGTTGTGGAGTGTGGTGAAAATTCCAAAAACCTGGAAGACGAATGTCTAAGATAACATTGGATGCAACATGGATTGGCAATTGGTTCTACTTGGACATTTCTGCCCTGGAAAACCATGACGAGAAAAAGTGGTCAATTTCAATGTTTACAGATTCCTGCTGAATGATCCAGAGAGATGCCCCAGATGTTTCCCACAAGTGACGGGCAAAACGACGGCGAGTATAATAAAGTTAAGTTTGAGCCGTGGAAACTCTGCATGTCCTTGATTAGCTGGACAGTGTTGGGTAGTAATACGTATGACTAGGTACATAATTGAATTCATCTTTTACATTCTCGCTACGGAGTAGCGAGTACTATAGTACAAGGAAAGATATTTTCCCTTAATGGAATATGTTCTTCAAAGATAGATTTTGAAATATGGTCATGTACAATTTTTCGAAAATTTGAGCACTTTTCGCGTAATTTTGCCTGAAAATACGGGCAAGAAAGTACGTGCCGTTTAGGACCACTAGTTTACACCATGATCAGCATCGTAGCTAGGGGCTGGTCAGGTGGGCCAGGGGTACAACCCCCTGGGGCGCACTTTCCAGACCCAGCCTGCAGACCTCTGGGGCACAGGCACACAAAATTAAAACGCAATGCTAACTCACATTAAAAAACTTGCACTTGATTACGATAGGTGTTCACACAGATCAGGAACAGCGCTCCTAAATTAACACATGAAATCTGTACCGAATACTAAATAAAAGATTTAAGAGAAAAAAATTGTGACGTCATTTAAATTTTCGTCACAAATTTGGGCTTGACCACAAAGGTCAGTTACATCTAGACTGTTTCTGACGGCTTTGAAAGATTTTTTCCGATAAAAAATATTTTCGACTGATTTTAAAGAGACAATTAATAACTAAAATAATTAATACCTAAAATACAAAGATGATTTAAATTCCGAGTTGTGTTCAGAGGTTAAAAGCTGCAAACACCAAATAAAATCATTATTGCCTAATTTAAAAAAGTTAAGATTATATTGCACTTCTTATTTGCAATGAAGAAAGTGGCTTAGTAACAGTAGTGTAACGTTCGGGTCCGCAATACGGGCGGGCCTGGGTTTTTACCCGCTTTTGAGAGCCTATTTTTAGGGGGTATTTTTATTATTTAAGGTATTAACACTACTGTGTTTGCTCTACACTTTTATAAAGGTGCCCAACTAAACGACAGGAGGTGCTAAATTTACCTGACTCAACCTGTATAATAAAATTTGAAAATGAATTAACAAATTACATTACCAAAATATTACATTTTTATGTAATTTACAACACTACATACTTCCTCATATAAGTACAATATTAAATATTTATTTTAGATAGTAGGCTTTACATATACCAGATATACGGTGGATGGATGTCTTCGTGCTAATCACACTAACCCCTTATCCCATGGCCGAGAGCCTGGGCCACCGCTGGTCGGCCATCGCCCGTATTAGGCTGTCGAGCAAATAACAGGACAGGACAGGCTTACAAATAAATCCCAGCTCCATTAATTAGATAGTGTTTTTCCAGGCGCGGATCCACGGTGAGAGAAATTTCCCCTCCCGAATTTTTTAGGTAACTATTAATTTTAACTTGTCACGACACTTTGAAACAAATATATTTTCGTATAAACATTAAAATTAATAAAATTGTATCGTAATATGAACTGAGTTTAGCCTATGTCATTCTACATAATCTTTAAAAATTATTAGAATTAAGAAGTTTATTAGTTGATCTTCTAGTATGAACTGTTTCTTTATAGGATTCAAAAACATTTGAAATTTAATTAATATAACCATAACCAAAAAGTCATCTACATCTTTTATAAAAAACAGATTAAAGGTTAGTAAAAATGATTCTACTAATCACCGCATGACAATATCTACAAAAAAGGAACTGAAAGAACTGCTGATAGGAGTACCGGTTTCCTGAAATTAATGACTCCATCAAATTGAAATTGTATGTGAGCAAAATGCATTTAACTGCTGCAATAAATGCTGCTATTGTATATGTTTATTTGTATGAAGAACTAATATTTCAAATCCTGGTGAAAAATAATGTGTTTAGCAAGGAGTTAGCAGCCTGCACTTTATTCTCAATTGATCTTAATTCTATTTTCTGATTAAAATAATAAAAAATAATACTAATATCCCTTTGGTATGCAAAAAAAAGTTTTGTGATACATACTGTAAGCCATGATTAAGGAATGAATGTATTCTGAGTCTAGTGTTGGTAGAAAAACAGAGAATTCAATAATTGTTCCCTCATGCTTCAGGCAATTTAATTTTATTTTATATCATAAAAAGGAATTACAAGTTCAGTTACTAAAATAAATTAATATTACAATTAATGAATCCAAAATTCAAGTTTTATGTACAGCCTTATCCTTGTGGCATAATGATCCAAACTTAAATTGTGTTTCATGTCTTTAGATCCTCACAAAACCTTTGTCAGTTTTTTTAGCAATGTTTGCATATGGTTACTCCGCTATCATTTCAGCACAAAAACTCTATTTAAATTTGTTTCTTTTTCTGTTATGTCTCTATTTGTAATAAAATAAAACAATTACATATTTCAAGTGTTCCATCAATAATAATAATGAAAGCAAAAAACTGATATATTTTTTCAAAATATGAATAATTATCTATTTTATTCTGTAAGTTATTTTTTGTGTAACTGTTTGTATCATTTTATATTTGAATTCTATCCTGAAAATTGACTGTACAAGAACAATGCAAATTAATTTTTTTTTCCTATTTATATTTATTGAAGATATTTTGAAAAGTAAAATCATTCCAAAAGGTTTAAAAATTATGGAAAATAATATTTTAATTTTCAAAATTCTTCAACGAAGTGCTTTGAAAAATTTTATTCATACAAAATATAAAAATCACAAAATTTTCTATGAACTAAAATTACAAAATTCTCTATATCTAGGTGTGTTTATTTATTTAAATTGCATTTAAGTGAATTCTTGCTACAATTTTGTACAACATAATAGTGGCATGCAAAAACACAATTTTATACCCTTTCCATGCTGGAATAAAATAAACAAAAATCACAGATTCTTTAAATATTGCAGTGGGTCCTTCACAATCCATGTAATTTCTCATTGATGCAATGAGGCAAGAAGTTTTAGAAATCTGAAAATTACTACATGAAGCTTAGTGAAAAATATACTTGACAACAGCATGGAAATATTGTTGTCAAATATGAATTTATAAAGTCACGAAATATAAAAATCAAAAAAGCTGCATTGTTAAAATGAGGCTGAGTCACTGCACAGCACTGAAATGTGTATATGTGTGTGTGTAAAAAGGGCTCTGTGGTCACTGTAAAGTGAAAGGGAGTGAGTTTCCATTAAAAGCTATGGACTTCTTGAACATAAGAAGAACATTATTCTTTTTCAAAATCATTGGTCTTTTTCCACTTCATATACAGTTTTAAAGCCTATTCATTGCACAGTAGTAAATATGCATACTCATTTCAACTTCTGCCACTAAGTTATTGCAATGAGGATTTTGAAAGAAGGAAGAAAAAATGTGTTATGATAAATTTCAACTTTATGAAAAGAGTAACACCCCCACCAAAGTAGACACCATTTGCTTCATAAGGACTGCATATTTGTCAGAAGCAAAGATATTCATTATTCTTAAATATTCATAAAATAATTTTTCCAAAAAGAAGTTTAAGCTCACTTTACAAATTACTTTGTTTTGCATGATGTATTGCATAATTATTGCCTTGCATCATGATATGTTTAAATTATTTGTAAATAATATTCACCTTTTCCTTGTAGATATTAAAAGCATCAGGATCAGGCATTTCAATTTTTGAAATGCATTGCTTATGTAATATTTTGTCATGTCTTTTAATGAAAATATCTTGTTACAAATAATGGTATAAATTAATGTCATATTTGTAATGTACATTAGATACAAGAACAATTTAGAAAATAATCAAAATAACTATTTCAATTACTAGAATGTTATTTGAATTACATTTATGCATTGAATTAACCAAACATCCATCTTAAACGAAAATTATAAACACTTATAATCTATTAGTAACTCAAAAATGATTGGAAAAAATGTTAATGAACAACTTAAACATATGAAGTTCCTATCATGCAATTATACATATAACAAAGCACTGACAATGGTAAGAAAAATAGCAGAATATTAGCATAGGCCAGAAGAGTAGTATAGTAGAGAAGACTTATGTGGCACACAGACAATTGAAAAGAAAAGTTCAATATTTTCACATGGATGTATCTTTTCAAACATGTTTCTGACAATGTTGCCCAGCTTGAGACATGGCAATGCTTCTTAGACTCCGTGAACGTTCAAATAACGAAGGGTCAGTGTAGATCGGTTCACTGGGGTCATCAAATGTTCTGCCATTGATGATACTGCAAATCACTTGTCCTTCACTGTCTTGTGGTTCTGGCATAATATTGGGAGATCTAATAACAAAAAGGTATTATTATTATTATTATTATTATTATTATTATTATTATTATTATTATTATTATTATTATTGCAACAAACAGCACGTACATTCTCCCCGTATTTTGAGGCAAAATTACGTGAAAAGTACTCAAATACTCTAAAATTGTACATGACGTAATTACAAAATCCATCTGTAAGAATTTATCTGTAAACTATCTGTAAGAAGCAGATTTCATTAAGAGAAAAATCTCTATCTTTATTATTTTAGCTGTAAACAGACTCAGAAAAAATTTTGAACATTTGCAATTTTCGATAAATCAGGGTTTTTACGATCATGAGACCCGCACCATTATTTTAAACGTCCTTCACACTATCCAACAACAAAATTTTATCAAAAAGGATGGAGCCATTTTTTTGAAAATTTTAAAAATGTCCCAGCACCCCCAAAATTAAGATATCGGTTTTAAATTCAAGGGGCCGCGACATCTGCCAGAACGACCGGGAAATATCAATTTTGAGAAAAGTCGGCTGAACGCTTTAGCCGCTATCATTGTTCACAGACGGACGGTCTGACGAACGGAGAGACGTTTTGCCATCATTAGATTTTTTGGTATCAAAGTCTCACAAAACATGGATTCTGGCTACACCACATGATAGAGGATTTTTTCTAAATGTAGTAACTGTATTTATCCACTTTTTTGTTACCAGGGCCTTGTAATAAGAGTGGATCATTGCAATAACTCTCTCTACTCCGTAGGGAGAAAGTAAAAAGGAAGGTATTAAAGCAGGCACGGTACTGGGAGACAAATTTCCTTTTGTAGTTTAAGTGCAACTAAAAAGGTGTTAGTAAAGCATACATTTTTCATTGCAAATAACAGTTTTAACTTGATGTAGATACTCATATTCACATAACCTTGGTTAAGCTGCCACCTTTATTATTGGCTAGTTTTTGCCAGAAACGTTAGTGACCGCCTAAGGGACGTTTTACTGTCGATATATAGCAAAATTAGTGTTTTTTTCGGATTCAGAATAATTCTATTTGCAATGCAATTAAAACTCAGAATGCATCCCCGTTGCATGTACGACTACCCCTAGACTCATAGGGATGGTGATTTTGCTTCACTAACCCTTTTAATTTAAGAAAGTGTTTGTTATTGATAAAATATGACTTTTAAAATTATATTTCCAAAACTTTTCTATAGATCCTAGATAAAGTATTTTTGTAGAAGTGAAGGCGAAGCGCAGAAGCGATACTGGTTTTGTTAAGTTCCGAACGATTTCATGACGTTTCTATCCATTGAACAAAAATACAAAGAAATATTAACAGAATTTGGTTTGTACTATTTTATATTTTATACAACAAATTCTTCATTTCTGTGTCTGCTGTCAAAGTGAAAGGCACAAATCGTCAAGTGAATCAGTGCTCTGCCGGCATGAAAAAGAGAAACTTAATTGAGACTGGTCATGAGAGACATCCTAGAATACAATCTCAAGAGATAAGCTTCTTTGAAGACCCTGTTTTTTGGTGTTTTTAAGCAACTAAAACACGTTTTGGGTGACTTACGGCATCTACAGACGTGAGAAGTAGTTCATTTGTTTCTTTCGACAAGTCTACTCGATTGGCACTATTTTTATTCTGTTCCATCTAAACTATTCTGGAAGATTTATATAGAAAAACACAATTTTTTTATGGTTTCAGTGCCCTACAAGTACATTAGTGGGACTCTGTGAATTACTAAACCCCCCGGTATTTACATTAATCTTTACTTGGTTCTTGAGATTGATGATAATTAAATCTAATTTTGTAATGAAATGAAAATTTGAACAAGTATTTTATTCGATACTTTTACATATAACTTTCTATGCCCGAAAATGCAAGATCCAGGCAACTGTAACTGGTTTAAAAATATTTTCATTATGAATTTGCAAAGCACAAATAAAAGTTTTTATAATGAAAATAGCCGCCAGAGGTGCTACGCTAAGCTATTATAGATATATGTATTTTGGAAACACCATTTTAAAAAAATTCCTGCCTCAGTGTCTACATGCGTTGCTGTTGCCTACATGCGTACATTTGCCACGCTGCGTCACTGGTCTTGACATTTGCAACGGAAAAAATTATATGCAATTTGCGGAATAACATACCTGTTACTGAATACTTTCTGGCTTCCTGGCATTAGGAATGAGAAGTTATTGCCTCTGGCACCTGGATACGACGTAGCAGCAGGAGGAGGAGGAGCGGTGCTATCCGCTGCAGCATTCTTTACATGCATGGACCAGTAGCGCCTTAAAATAAAATAAAATAAACAACATAAATTGCAACAAATGTACATGTGATTGGAAATAAGTAAATCTAATATTTATTGTTAGAAGCAACAAAACCATTATTTAAATAATTTCTAAAGCATCTTTAAAAAAATGTTGCGTCTTTGCAACAGGTCTCTCTGCCCTTCCTGAGCGCATCTGGAGTAATCCTCCGCTAACTTTTTTGTCTCGTCACGTCGCAATCAGACAGTGCCTTTTATCCCTTCGGCCAGGGACTCCGCTTCGTCAGTTACCGGGGTTTCTAGACGGTCACCCGTCCAGGAATCTGAGGTGTCTCGAATTATTAACTTCCGTGACTTCAGGAAGCGCATTTAAGAAATTCGGCAAACGACGCCTGCATATTTTACAACTGTTCAAGCGATATTGGTTTTTGTAGATAATCAATATACGGTTAGCGTCTGTTAAATCATACTATGAGAAATAAATATCGACCATCATTTTAAATGCTATCTACAAAATTCTAACAGACATTTCAAATCAAATTATTATTGAGTGATTTGATTTAATATGTCTATTAGAATCTTGTAGATACTATTTGAGTGAAATATGTATAACTAAAGAAATAATAAAACAATATAAAATAGCACAGAACACGGAAAGTAAATTGTTTTGTTTATACTTACTTAGTTTGAGAGCGCTTATTTATCGATTACCAAGCTTTTATAAAGTTTGGTGAATTTACTCTAAACATCTAAACAATTTAAAAATGATTTATTTTCCCCGTTCAATAATTAATATCAGTTATTGAGTTAACCTGATTTTGCTACTATTACAATAGTATAATGAAAGCATCATGTCTGCTTTTGTTCCTATTGCAGTGTAATGAAAGCGCTGTTTTCCGAAACTTTAATATCGGTTCACGCCTGAAATCTGAGTTGTTTATTTAAGGCACCATTTCAGTCACTTTTTCAACCTTATTATGTTAAATTCAAGAGTGCCTGAATGCAGGTCGATATTTTGCTTTCTGTTGTCTTGTATCATAGATGATTTCGATGAGGCATTGAAGGTGCAAACGACTGCTCCGTGGTGACAGGTATTCATGCCCTCTTCTCTCTTTCATCGCATTATTATCATTACTTATCTTTCTTTCTGTCCTTCTTAATGATTCTTATAATTAATAAAATATTTTGTAAATAAGAATAAAAAATTATAAAATCCATCTTCCTCATTACGAGTCTTTCGTTCTTTCATAAGGGAGGAAGAAGATATTCAAAAAGTGTTTTCCTGTAATACGGCTAAATAGTCGATTTCAAAAATTTGCTTTGATTGGAGACGTAGATACCCTTTTTATGGCGCCAGGGCGGCATGATGCTCGTAGCTACTTGAGAAATAAGGAACCCTATCATGCCTTATTTCTAGAAATAATAAGTAATTTTGTGAACGGACTGCACTTACCTGTAGCAGGTACCAGCGATAGCAGAAACTATTATAAGCACTATAAGAATGATTATAATTGCTGAAACAAGTCCATAGTACTCTCTTGCTGTAAGACATACAGCAAGTGGCATTGGTTCTATTTTCTCTTCCGGAAGAAGGTCCTTGCGTGATTCAAGAACCTAGAATGTTACCAGTTGCATTAAAACATAACATAGATTTCTCTGAAGCAGAAGGAGAATTATGCAAGAATACAAATGCATTACCTCAATCATTTCTCTAACTTGCTCTTCCTCATCTGTCCCATTAAGAGATTTTTCGGAATTTTCAGGTTTGTCGTCATAATCTGTTTCGTTTGTCTCTCTCTTTTTCCTTCCAAATGAAGGTTCACTACGTCCAGCATGTCCGGTACAATATGCCTGTAATTATAGAACATTATTCAGTAAATTTATTTTAAAATGCATTGTAAGAAATAATTTTGTACCATTGCTAGGTAGTCATCACTCTCTCTGCGACACTAGTGGCCACTTAAATCATAAAATTCAGCATAAAAATAAAATAAATAAGAAGTGGAGGTTTCCCGTTTTCTTTAAACGTGCAGACCGTTGGGTTTAAGCTTTCTGGTGGCATGGTCTAGAACGACTATCATTTATTTTTTCCATTTATTATTTGTTTAAAGAATAAGCATAACATATGAGTATCTTATTAATATTGACATTGCTATATTGGAACATGAACCGGCACTTTTATGGTCTCAAACTCGTTCAAGGGGTAAAATAAAAAAATTGGCCAATACTGAGTCGAATGCCTGACTAATATTGCTATCACATTCTTTTTAAATATTACAATTTTGCTACCTGAGCGTGTAAAAGATAAGGGCTCGGGGAATTCTAACATTGAAAATTTACCATTAAAACATTTACTATCCTACATTTCTTTGAACATTTTATGATATCGACTTTAACAGAGGGAATTATCAGTTTTGCCGGACATACAGAAACAGACGGACGAATGGCGATGCGCAATTGTTCCTGATGTTGTCAAACGTTGTGGGAGATGCAGAACATTAATTATCAGATGCAGAATTATCAATGCAGAACATTGATTATCAGAAAGAAAAATAATGTTTATTTTAACAAAACAGTGATATATATTGAATTAGTTTACATTCAATATCTGGAACCTTTGTTGCTGTATGTGAGCTTCCAAGCCCTGCGTCACTTTGCGGACACCTTGTGCTCCCATTATCACAGATAAATATTTTAAAGAAAGAACAAGTATTTGATAGCAATATATTTTATAATAAGAGCTGAAACTATGTACACTTACTGGTTGGCAACCATCTCTGCATGTTCGTACCGTCGCTTCGAACACTAAGAAGTTGGATTCAGGAATCTTAAAGGCATTGAATCGAGCTTCCAGGCCATCTCCAGATCGAGCTCTATCAAGACCCGGGAAGACGTAGTTGTCAACAGGACAGCTTGAGAATACAAAAAGTATACATAAGCATTTATTTTATTAAATACAATATTTTAAAATTATTCAAAGCAATAGTCATCCTGACCGGGAATTGAAATCGAGACTCATCTATTGCTCTGACTTCTGAACTACCGAGGCAGCCCATGCTTTGGGCAGTTTCTTAAACTTGATATATTACCCGGTATTTGAGATTACGTAGTGACAATCGAATTAAATTATTGCCATTCGGCAATTACTACATACCCGTATCTGTCAATTAGTTGAACGGATCTACCGGAGTACGGATCTCTTGCTATGACGTTAGTTGCAAATATGTCAGTCGCATAGTTGTAGGCATCTTGAGCTTCAAGTCGGAATGTAAGAGGATCACCAACAGCAATGGTTGTTGTAGGTCTACCCTGATACAAAATGAGTAAACGAACTCTCGAACTCAGTGTATTTTCTGCTGGCAGAACTTCAATCGGCGTTGGACTTCCAGAGCTGTAAAAGTATCACAAATAAAACATCTGAAGATTTAAAATTGACGATGTAAGTTAGTCGAACATTTTTTTTTGTTTCTGGTACTGAAAGGCTTTACGTGAGATATGTTATTATATACATGCCAGGAAAAATTTACTATAACTTACCCCGCTCCAATGTATCCTGAGGTTACTACAGCTTCTCCGGGGCCTCGGAAAAGACATGTGAGATTGTATCGTTTATCTCGGCCCGTTTGTACGAAATCACTGAATTGGACCACTACGATATTTGTCATGGTGTCTCCATACTGCAAAATAGTCATTGAGGTTTTGCTACTGTTTGAGAAAATTAACAAGTACGCTTATTTTTTTATTGTTTTTACCCTTTGCGTTCCGCAATCTGGATATCCTTGCTGTCCACTTATTCTAAGCACGTTTGCTGTACCGCCGTTACCCCGGAAGAAACATCTGTCGTAGTATCCGTAGGTGTAAATACGCCCATAAAATCCTTCTGGTGTTCGAAGTGTGAATTCCATACCATCTTCGTTGCAAATTTGGCTTACTGGAAGATGAATAAATTATTGTCGTTTTTAATAAAAACTTATATGATGTACAACAATTGTATTCAATAGTTTATTACCATCAAGACATTCTCCAACGAGGCCGCGCTCACCAAACCTTTCGTAAAAATCGTAGTCGCCATTTGTTTCAAAATATGAGGGATTCTTAATGTCCAAATCCCTCGTATCTCGATCACTGAGTTCACAGTTTTCACGATCCGCACCGAAAGGAACAGCGTAAGCTCTGAACAAAGGATAGAAAAGATAGTAAATCAGTGAGAGTTAATGTGACATCACATCACAATGTTCTAAGAGGCTCATCGCATGTCAATATTCAACTATGATTTCTGTAATATACTCTGTACCGTTAGTCTTCGTAAAATTGTTGAGTGTGTAGAAAATAAAAGTCCAAGAACGAAGAAGTAATACATTTTTCAAATAAAAAACCGGAGATCGGATGAATGACAGTTTTTCTAGGAGGAACCAAAAATATTTGCATGTGCTATGCAACCCATCCGGCAGTGAATTATATGTGAAGGCAAATGTTTGTTTTATCCTAAAAATACTCCTGTTATAAAATATCTTGCAATTAATTTCTCCTTATTTTGCGAATTTTGCATTGTAGAAGGCAGCCAAGTAGACTTTACTGCCTGGAGGGTTACATTTATTGCAATCAATATACTCGTACGTGTAAGAATTTAATTTCTCACACATTAACAATACACTTCCGATTCCAGTAAGTGTATCTCAACATGTTTGTATGTACTTGATCAACCGCTCGTTCACGTTTCTGCCCAGAAGTTTTTCTGCACATTGCACAATACATATGCCCTACATCCTCACCTGTAATTGAAGGAACGGCACACGAAATCTCGAGCTTCTGCGCATTCTCTTTCGCATATAGGAAGAGAAGGCACAGAAATGAACCGACGAATGAACTGACGACGAATACGTAGACGAACACCCACCTGCAATATGATAAGCAAAAACTCAACTTTTTTCATTTTATGTATTCCAATGACTCACTAATGTTGGCCAATTGTAATGTTGACAATCAGCATTTACTGGAACTATTTTCAGCATTTACTGGAACACGAAGTATATAATTTGAAACAATTAAACGACTAAAATTATTTTTCGGGCTGCGGGGCAGTGGTCTATTAGAATTCATTTTTCCAGCTCGGAAGATAATTCTAATTGTGAATCCAGTGGTGGAAGTTGCATTGCTTTAATTAAACAACTATTTAAAATAATTGATGTACTAATGTAATTTATTTTTATTTAACTTATCATTTCTCATTGTTTTCCTAAGATCGATTTTGTGAGTTTCTATTAATTTCTTGAATTCGGCATTGCTTAGGTAATTTTATTATCAGTAGTTTTAAATTGTTCTCTTTATCTTCTTTTGGCTTAGGCGTGAATATTTTCAAAAGGAGATATACAAACAATGAGGTGTATGCATTTGAATAAATGGATTATTAATTAACTACAGTATATTACTTTCATTGTGGTTGTAAATAAATGTATTATAATTATACGAAATTTGCAAATAATAATTAAAAAATATTTTACTAACATTGTCATTAGTTATTATTCATTCCTAAATAATAGTAATAATAATAACACTAATAATAATAGTAATAATAATAATAATAATAATAATAATAATAATAATAATAATAATAATAATAATAATAATATTAATAACGACGGTTCGATGGTCGAGATCGCTAAGGTAGTAACACAGCAGCGGTCTCCGACCAAAGGATCGCGGGTTCGAGTCATTCATCGAACACGTAGTTGTGTGGTGTGTGTTTCTGTATGCTTGTGTGTGTCTAGTTCATTCGTCATCATCAGCAAATTTCATCCCATCCACAGGGGTTTACAACTCTCGGGTATAAAAATGGAGTCAGCATTAAAAGGCTGATTTCCCCCTATAGAAAAGTAACGTGCGCCTACCCCGATAATCAAGTCTGAGCCCCGCTGGGATGCACGTATTTTGTGACCCCATGATGGCCGATTGGCGAAAAACAAAAGGTGCGTCAAAAAGTTCATTGTAGGTGACGTTTGGGAGTTGCAAAGATATATTTACTATCCAGTAGAAACAAAATTTCTCTCAACGTTCGCTCTCGGGATTGCTGGGAAACTGGTAAAAACAGCAATCGTGATGAGGGACCTAACTCAAAGGATATCAGTTATCTTATGGAAATTCTTGATAATTCAGTACGTCTGCATAAAGATGAAGTTCGCGATAAAGCAGTCCACAAAAACACATGATTCAAAAATCTTACATGCGTGTCGAGCAACGTAAAAAAAGTAGTCGGTCAGTTTGTGTAAGTCAAAACATTCTCCGGCCTTATAAAACAATGTAGCAGTCAAACGTTTTGCTTCTTTTTTAACTTATGCAACATATTTAAATTTTTAATACTTTCAGACAAAGTATTATAAAAATTACAGCAAATTTTAACAAGTTTTCTTGAATTATTCTAGAGAAACTGAAATTTGATTATTGTGTCGTACTTTGAGTACGAATCCAATTTTAACAAACACACACGTCCTTTATTGAGTCTCTTCTCGCAAAAAACCCTCCTACTACTCGTAAATGTATGGAGTGGGAAGACCATGTATTGTCCGTGGTACTAATAACGTCCCTCATTTCATCTCTTTTTTTTAGAACTGTTGCTTGGCAGCGACCACGCAAACCCGTTCTTATCATTTCAGCCGATTATTGAAAACCGGTGTTTGCATCAGCAGCCGGTAAAAAGCTACTGAAGTTTCCGATTTTTTTTAGTGAAAAACGCTTGTTTTGTCAAAAAAAAAAGTTCATGACTGTGACTGGTTAAATGGTTTTTTTAAAATAGTCGTGTGAATATTACATAAAGCTGCTGTTTTTACACGAATTTTTATTTGCAATTATTTCATTAGACCTATTTCATCTCTTTGGTATGCCATAATGCCATCCCCAGGTTGCATCCACAAATGATAAAGATAGCAAAGATTCTTTAGATGTCAAATTCTTCGTTTGTCAAGAGAAAAGTGAATAGTGTTCACCAAATAAAAATAGAAGAAATTAATGCTTACTGCATACAATTGCTGCACGAGAAGTGTACCTTTACATCAGTCAAAATTATTTTTGTGCGATGTCTTATCTATGTGAAATTGTTATGGCGGTACAAAATATTCTGTAATATGTAATATTTTATGTGGTGTGAAGTATGAACTATGTGATGATAATAGGAATATTGTGGTATATTTTCCAAAGGTATGAAATAAAATTTATTTTTACTTATTTAAGTTTATATAATGAACGGTATTATTGTCAATAGCATATCGAATAGTGGTGTAAGATTTGGTATTAGACCCTTTTTTGTGCTTCCCCTTTGCTAATATCTTCGGGGACGAAATTAGAAACACGTTTTTAGAAAGCAGTGAAGTGAATATGTTGACGTTTTACTTTTTTTCTTCTTCAGAAAATATCTCAGGAATCTGGGGGAAGTAGATTAGGAGCCTGAAACATATGAATTAAGGGTCTGAACATTCTTGGTAACAACAGTAAATGAATATTCAGACCCTTAAGTAATATTTCAGACTCCTAATCAATTTTCCCCAGATTTCTGAGATAGTTTTTGCATAAGGAAAGAAATAGCCTAGGAGAATGATATACGGGCTCTTCTAACCCACACTAGGCAATGACAGAATATCCTATTTAATGAACGTTGGCAGGCAATGACCACAAGGATTTAGCGTATAGTTACTTAATACTAAAAGAGAATTCATCAAGGCATCATTCATTGTTCAGGCAAGAACGCATTTTTGATACGCAAATAGAAGCAAAGTAATTGATTACACAGGAGCGCCGTACAGACACACAGACAAAACAGATTAGCTGCCATCGGGCTACAACAAATTGCTGTTTAAGTAAATTCATCTAAAAAAGTCGTCAGACCCAAAGACTTGACACATATTTCTTTATGTATGGCGACGCACTGAATACGAATTCTGGCTTCAGATTCGGATTCAGCGAGTCGACATAGAGAAACACGTGACAAATCTTTGGGTCTGACATTGTGTGTGTGTGTGTGTGTGCCTGTGTTATTATTATTAATCTGGTTTTAAACAACAAAATATATTCTAACTTAAGTCGAAAATTCTACAATCCACAACGATTGATTTGTGTCTGGATATGCTTTGTTTATTTTAGTCATCATAACATAATCTAAACGATCCCAATACACAACGATTGATTTACGTCGGGTATACTTTGTTTTAGTCATAGTCAAATTTCTCTCTTTTTAAATATTGAATAGTAAAGGCATACAGGATGCAATTAATAATAGTTATTCAATATAATCACGTATAGATGTTAAAAACAGAATATTCACAAGGACATACCAGCAAAATAATGTTTAAACGTGAATAAAAATTCTACATTCACCTACTAATAAATCTTACCTGTCGAAAATTATCCCCTTCGTCACAGCGTGTGTGGAAGGGCCTCTGGCCTCCGGGACCTCCATAAAACCCGTCCCCGTAGCCTCCGGGCCCTGGCCCTGGCCCGATTCCGGGCCCGACGCTGCCGCCTCCGCCGCCGTAGGGGCCTCCTCCATACGGTCCTCCACCGTATCCGCCACCTCCTCCATATCCGCTGTGTACTCCATATCCTCCCCCTGCTCCGCCCCCACCTCCATGACCTCCGTAGCTTCCGCCGCCTCCATATCCGCCTGGCCCTCCACCGTATCCTCCATGTCCCCCATAACCACCGCCCCCACTTCCATATCCCCCTCCTCCTCCTGCTCCTCCTGCTCCGCCTGTAAAGAAAATGCCCACGTTATAAGAAAGTAAAAAATTAATTTATGTTTTCAAAAAGCTATTAAAGCAAACCTGTATATCATGGTTCGCATGTATCTTGATTTATATCCTAATATTTGAAGGATTAACTATTTTATTTTATCTAAACCATTTTAGTACCAAGTAGTATTAAACATATTCTTTTATGAGAGGTAGTTTATATTGTTCTTTTACTTCAAGTGAATACATGTTTTATATATTTGTTTTATAATTAGTGCTGAAAACAGTAGTCCGGAATGTGAGTGAGCAGGGTGAAAGCATGCGAAGAAATGTTGGATTGCGAAAGGCACATTAAAATATATAATTTGTGTGCAAGTGAATCAAGATTTAAAAGGGGAATATTAAAGTGCATTTATAATGTTTTGGAATTATTTTGCAAGCCTTTGTAAGTTGTGCATTAGTGAAAATGAGTGAGAAATATTTATTTGAATTCGTTAGATACCTATACTATTGTAAGGTGGTCGACCGTGGCCATGGTAGTTGGTATCTTGACCAAGTGGATCTGGTCGGTATTGAGGTCCATCCCAATTATCTGGCGAATAAGTTACATTTAGAAATATCTTGTTTCTTAAAGGCACGTGAATATAGAATATTTGAAGTTGTTTAATGGAAAGCGAAATACTATGTAAGAGAAGTGGAATATTTGTACGTTAGCGAATTCCTCACTAATCAAAACCTTCATTTTATTAATAATTTTAGCAACTACATATTTTACAGAAGCTTGTTTTTAAAATGTTCTGTTTATTACATTGTTTTATGTTCTCAAAATTTTCAGCATTAAACATAGTTGAATAATAATAATAATAATAATAATAATAATAATAATAATAATAATAATAATAATAATAATAAATGTAATGTACTTACTCAACAAATTCTCATAGTAATCAAAATCAGGATCGTAAATGACTCGATGTCCTTCACGTTGATTGTACCTACTGAGACGGCAAGAACGGAAGCGTTCACTGTACATTACAGAACGGCATTTGAAGCTTTCTTGGCGTAAGCATTCGTCTAGACATTCGGCTAACGTGCGACCGGTAATTTCAGTGTGGAAGTCTCCTCCCAAACGGCTGTTTCGATAACGCTGGAAGGCCGTGTCCGGGCGCTGCCCAGAAGAAAATAGATGTAAGTTGACTGAATTGTCTTCCGTTCCTTGAGCTAGAAAATACAAAAAAGTGCAATTAGAAAAACAACACCGATAGTAACTACTTTTAATTTTGAATGGTTATTGTGATTAAAGGCAATATTGATTGCAATTACATCAGGTGAAAATTAATCATAACTCCTAGACGATAAATTACGTATTTTACCTATACATTTTAGTATTTCGTATATTTACCTTTATCGAGGCACACAAAATTGTAAAGATGGTGGCTTGAACTGCTACTAATTTGCACATCGTCTTCCTGTGATACAGCATCTTCTTCAGAGACGATGCACTGATGAGTTTGCTCATCATATTCAACTGATCGACAAAAATACCTACGGAACACAAAAGTTTAATCGACTACTGCATAAGGATCTTGTCAAAATTGTGTAATACTCCTTTAATCTAGTCAGTCGTCGTCTTATACCCCTTTGGCCAGGAGCTCGACGCTGTTAGATCCCTGAGGTCCCAGTTTAAGGTCACCAATGGAAAAATACTTTGAAATAATAGTTTATGGCCGTATTATTAGTTTCATTTAAAATAAACACATGATTTCAAGTTTTCTATTTAATGTTGCTGAGAAGAATATTGTTAGTTTATTATTTCGGAATCATTCTGGGCGTGGAAATTGCATTCTCTCTGTGTTAGAAGGGAGAAGATTAAATTGCTTAGTGAGCCTATAAAAGTAACTCTGCAATACATTTTTTGCATGCACTTTTGCACTCACAAACACAATTGTTTTGAAATCTCATTTCGTATGAATGTGGGATGCAAGACTTTTTGTATTTTAAAAAGAATTGGAAACAGGTATAAAATATATTGTATACAATATTGGCGTAGATTTTAAACTTACTTCTCAGCTTTTATACACCTCATTTGACAATCCTCCAGTGTAAGGTTGTTAAATATTTCCATTTCAAATGGTCCTGAGAGTCGTGTATTGCCATCTTTGATGAAGACTGGAATGCCGTCGCAGCGTCTCTCCACTGTAAAAATACCATATTTTCTTATTACTCAGGCAACGTGATATATTACTTAAGTCACGGAAATTTTCGTAATCGAGGTAAAAACAGATACCAATGTTTTACAGTTTCCGCGATTTTGTTGGTAAGGATATCGTGATCGGCAGAATGTAATGGCTTTTTATGTAATTATAGTCATTGTGACAATCTCGTTTTTAACATGTTGCTCTTAACTCAGCTCGTAAGCCTCATTCTCATCGTAACCATATGAAAACGGTAGCCAGCTATCGTTAGTTGTAACAGAAAAATATTCGTTAAAACATGCGAAAATCGTTGCAAGTCCATTTTGTTGTAACATCTTCTTATTGAACTAACGTTTCCCATAAGAACAAAAGTAAGATGACTCGGATGGCGTCAATTTTCAGGTGAAAGTCCTCACAATCCCATGATGTTACTATTTACATATTAGAAACTGCCAAAAATTTGATGCATAATGCCAGCTATCAACGCTGCTTGTTGAACTCATTTGCTGTATCGGTTCCTAGACCTATTATCTTTCACCAACTCAGGCGAGAAACAGTACTTTTTTGTGGCAGCGTTTTTATGGGATGCGACGCAACAAAGTCCAGCTTAGAATTTCTTTCAGTTTTCAGTCAATTACGTCCGATGAAACTCACCCATTTTCTTACTTTAGAATACTCTATGAGTCAAGATGCGCTGTTTTTCACAATTTTCTTACAATGCATAAATCATCTGCGGGTTTGGGTAACCAAGTTTTTTGCAGTGCTAGAAAAACATTAAATTTACATTTCTTAATTTTTTGTGCATATCACCTTCACTCCACCTTTATCCACTCCCTAGCATTTCTGCCAGAATTGAGCGGGCTACAAAGGCGATCGCACATGGGATAACATGTGATAGCATTTCTAAAAACAAACTCAAAATTACTGTTAGTAAGTGTAAAATAAGATAATAGGTACAAGGGAAACGTATGCTTCGATATATGAAGAAAAATAAACTGTAAATAAATAAATTAAAACACAGAAAGCAATATACTATTGTGCAAGTTGTGTGGCTTTTATATTCGTTCTTTTGCTTAATATATGGTGTTTAAAACACTGTCAGTCCCAAGGAATAATACGTTTGGGTAATAACTTTTTTGCTGATAGTAAATATATTGTTTGAATTATTTTACTATTATTTACCATTGAGGCAAGTATTTTCGAGATAGTCAGAATTCGGGTCATCCTTAAACAGACTCGGCCAAGTTCGACGTGTGAAACGACTCATATAACACATTCTCTGGACTGCGTCGAAGGAAGCAGATCGGCACACAAACGAGTATTCGTTTAGACATCTGAAAAAACAAAAGAATGTTTGTGTTGTATAACTATTGTAGTAGCATTCAGTAAGATAATGTGATTGTAAATGCTGGCAGATGAGTCTTATTGGTGTTGATTGGTTCCATTAACATACCTGTCCTCACAGTCGCTACGATTCAGTGCGGATACTTCCTTCATATCATGAGCAAGAAGATTTAGTTTCTTACGAGGATGGCGTTCAAAAACATACAAGCGATTTGGACATTCTCGTTCAACTCGGCTTGCTGCAAACCAAGTGAAAGAGATATTAGTTACAAAAACTGTAGATTAAGAACAAATCTAACTATTATCCAATTTAATTATTAAAGAGTGTTAAAGGTATTATGTCCACAAATAATAGAGATATGGTAATATACATACATGATAAACAGACTTCATTGAAATGAACGCTGTTGGGCACCATTAATAAATTTCCTATTCCTTCAGGTTGCGCTTGTTCTCTTGTTAAGAAGCAAGTCGAATCTTCATATTCAGGATCGCCACTAAAGGATGCTATTCTACTTCCAGGTTGAAAATCAAATGATGAGCAGGCCCTAAGAAGATTGTTCGTCGGTGCTCGGTCACGTAAACATAAATCTTGACATTTTTCCAATACTTCTCGCGGCGGTAAACGGTCCCGTACCTACATCATCATAAAATCATGGTATATAATATAAAGAAGTACTATTGTAAGAACAAACAGGATAAAAGTAGCAATATAATTGAACTTGGTTCGTACGTAAAATTACCCCTTTCGATAATGGACAACTGGTTAGTACATTTTTGCATTTCTAATTTTCTGATAAATTAAGACATAAACAATTTATTATCGATTCATTTTCAGCGAAAAGTAGACACAAAGATGTGGTATAAAATAAAATTGGAGCCGGTGAAAAATTGATTAGCCCTTAAACAGACACATATACGGATAATTGATTCAATTGATCTTAAAAAATATCTTCAATAAATATAATTAATGTCTATACAGGTAATAAAAGTTCACTAATTAATTTTCATCAGTATTTACACAGTATATGAACTTTGAAAAATGTATTAGTTTCTTACCACTTCTTCATCCAAGCCTTGCAGCTGACAATCCGGAAGCCTCTCATAACAAACTCGTCCGATGCCTTGATTGCAGGTGTTTTGTGCTGCAACAATATAATTGTGTTTAAGGATAAAGAAAATATATTGACAGGCGACTGGAAAGAAGGGCATACACATCACCTTTCATCAATTCATAATTTTTCCTGAGTTTACACAATGTAAAGAAACAAATATATTTTGGATAACTAGGAGATCTAATGCAAGAATAAAGGAAATGCTGTTGCTGATTTTACGTGGGTAACAAGAGGGAATTAAGGGCACGCAGTGCTAATTATTGTTATTGTTACTATTTTGGGAATGGATATTAGTCCCACGCCCAGCCCTAAAACCGGGAGAGATGGCTCAGGTCATCAATTGATGTCACTGCAGTCCCTCTGACCGGGTCCTAGGTTCGAGACCAGAGCTTATCAGCTCGGTCAAATTCAGTCGCTGTCTGGAGGAGAATTCTAGCGGCCGGCTGCTGTGATCGGTACTTTTCCGTGGTCTTTCTGATCAACACCACACGAATGCCGGAGGAGCAGTACCCTAACAAATGGGCCACAGACCGCGCGCGATCTTTCCTACCTCCTTCTTGTCCTATCCTCGTCTCTTACACACACTCATACTAAC